AGTAGTAGTACTAATAGTAGTAGTACTAATAGTAGTAGTACTAGTAGTAGTAGTAGTAGTAGTAGTGGTAGTAGTAGTAGTAGTAGTAGTAACAATCACAATAACAACAAGAACAACAATAATAGTTATAATCGTAGTAATGAAACAAACATAATTACTAGAGTATGCTAGCCCTTTCATGCCTTTGAAAAATATTCGTATGTTAGATCCTTACGGCCAAAAAGGCAAAACATGGAATACCTAGTACAACAAGCATTGTTGTGATTGCTAGTGTTACGAGGGCAATGAGCAAAATAGAGACGATAAACATGAAAATCACAAACATAATAAGAACAACACCAGAAAACCATCTAACGGTTTCAATGCTAGGGGGAACTACCAGGTACCACTCGTACCAATTAATCTTCCGGCAGTATTTCCTTTCACCCGCAACCGTTCGAACTGGGTGACAGTGTGTCACTGCCCCCGCGGCCGTGCACTTCGTGCATGTTTCACATCACTGAAGCTACATCTGTCACAACGTTCGCTAACTTCTCTTGGTTGAGAAAATGTACGCAAATATGGGTGTAGTTGTTGATAATACATACATGTATGTATATACATACATACATGCGTACATACATACGTACTTCTTCTTCCATCGCCGCAAGAAGAGTCCTGCGATGCGCGCGGGCAGCGTCGCCGGCGTCTTATAGACGCATGCCGACTTTTCGGCATCCCGGGAGTGCAAAACGAAGGCTTCGAGGTTTAACAGCAGACTCAAACAAAAACGCCTGAAAAACCGACACGACTCACTAAGTAAATGACCCCTGAAATCACTCATCTGCCCGGCGTGATCCGCCCCTTAGAGCAGATGTGGAAGCCTCGCATTAAATACCCCGAAGGGCCCTGGATGATGAGGCACCTAGGCATGTGCAGTTCGGGATTTAACACTAGAAGACAACTGATTAGATCGGGATCCACAACATCATAGAAGACATAATAGACAATGCGATTAAAGCAAATAATCACCGATTACAGCACATGCAACAGCCTCTCGTGCTATAGCTCCAAAAAGGGTTCAGCTCCTGACCAAGAAGCAAATGTACGCAGATTTACTGATTTCTGTGATGTCTTCTGATGTGCACACCTGAGTCTGACGGTTATCATCCGTAGTATGGCTGGGAGAACCGTGGGAGAAGTATGCAACTCGGTAGCGGCCTGCGAGCTTCGTCTGACCAAGATGATACTGCACCGCTACAAGGCTGTATCTGACAGAGGTGGTGTTACAGCTTGGGCCTATGAAACACGGCAGGAACACAGTAGGGCTTAAGGCTATGGGGTGATGCACTTTCTGGCCATCCTGGTCAAAGCGATTGAGCTGCAGCAGCAAAACTGGCGGAGTTGTCACTGCAGCATGCTGCACGACCTGATTGCGCCAGCGAATGACCAGAGCTTGCAGAGTCCACTCTGTGCGCGTGGCTCCGGACAAGGCTGGGTTCAGTGCTGTAGGGAGCACCAGCGGCCACATCTTTCCGTGATCGACAGCCTGAAAGGCCGGAGGGTCCGATGGCAAGGTTTCTAAGACTAGCCTAGCTTCCCAGGTACCCTGATCCCTTTCTGAGATTAGAGCTGGGCCAAGAAAAGCCAAAAATTCGGCCGCATCGTGTTGCTCATGCGGCGCCTGCCAGTCGAAGGTCAGTGACTGCCAAATGCGAAGCCTCGTAAGCATTACCTGCTGGGGCGCGTGAGCCATTGCAGAAAGCGGTGCATTTCACGGAGCGGGATGCTGACACCTTGTGAAGTGGCAGCTATAGCCCACAGAATGCTCAAGACGCTGGAATTGGCATAGCACAGGTTGTTTTCATTCAAGAAAACAAGTTGCAGCACTGAGCTAGGGTTCAGGCTTAGAGCTCCTGAATGAGGCGCTCGATGGTCTTGGCTAGCGGGCCCCGTCCGAGCTTGCCCGGTCTCAGCGAGCCGGCTACCAGATGCCAACAGCTGCAGCGAGACAGCCGGTTCATGCAAACCCACATCTGCTGAGACTCCTGGCTGCGGTTCTGAACCTGGAGACTGAAAGGAATCACTTCCGCCGGTCCGCGCTCCACTCGGCTCCGAATGGCATGAAACCTGCCGATGACTCCTGGGAAGGCCGTCAACCTGAGAGCCATCTTGATGAGCTCCACAGCCTCCTTGTGGCCTAACGGCTCCTGCTGTGCCGGCACATGTTTGCGTTGGCTGTGATCCCAATGCAAATAAGGATAGGCCTCGCCAATGACCAGTCCTTGCTTCTTCACCTGTGCGAGAGCCTCCGCATCCGTCTCCAGGGCCTCGACTCTCTCGAGGAGAGTGCTCAGGAGGCAATACAGAATCACATTCCGCATTGGTTGAGTCAGCGTGTGAGGCTCCTCGGACTTCTGGCGATCCCAGTCCTGTGCTGTCTTGAAGAGAGCGTCTGTCACGGATCTGCTGTTGCCAGACTTGCTGGACTGAAGGAAAAACATGAAGTCCAGGTCGAGGCCCACTATGGCGTGTTGGTCCTCGTGCCTTAGGCTTAGGCGGGCAACTGCGGTGATGAGGTCCCGCATGGCCCCGTCCCGTCGCGGTTGTTTCGCGACGGCTGCTGCGCTTGGCGGCCCCAGTTGCGTTGCCACTGGCCTCGACCCCAGCCCCCATTGCTGGACCAGTTGGCCTTGGCCTCCTCCTGACGATGGACTCGTCCCGGCACCAGTGCTGTCGAAGACTGGGCAGGCTGTGTGTTCCGCGCCTGCGGGTTCGCTGGACGGTTGCCGGGATTCGGAGTTGTCGGCGCTGCAGAGTCCTGGCCTTTGTTCGTCTCCAAGGTCCGGGGCCCCTTGCCTGTCGGCTGAAGATCGCCCTTGGCCTCGCCCTTGGCCCACTTGAGCGGCGGCTCGTGCTGTGCGTCCTGTGACTCCTCCGACCTCTTGTCTCTGGCATCCACTGTCATGGAATCCTCCTCCTGCTGGCTCGCCAGTGAGGGGGCTGCCGTGGACAGTTCCTGCTTCGTGTGCGAGGCGAACTGAGCAAGTTCCTCCTGGGCGCTCAGCATCTCTGCTTCCTGCTGCTCTGTCAAGGACATCGCGAAGCTTTGGCTGCTGAAGGTCCTCAAGGGTGCTGGCGCGATACAAAAAGTGTTCGCAAACCCAAAGCACTGCACAAGACTTTAAATGGTTTTGGTGCCTGGCCTGAAAAAACTCGCCACACCACTCGCAGGGCCGTCGGACACTTGTACGGGCTCGAACCCACGCAGCTACATGAGGCTTGGCTTGTCTGATGCTGGGGTGCATGTGGTGGGCATGCTTGAGTACATAGCTATGGCTGGTACACCACTGGAAGCATTCAGGGCAGTGATTGGCAGATTTGGTCTCGCGAATAGCTTTAGCAAGGTCTTTTACACGGCGCTGCTGGGCAAGGGATTGCAGGTCCTGGCGATGCAGCAAAGGCGTCACGTCGTGCTGGTCTGCGCGAATTCCTCCCGGCGCGAGCGCCCCTTCAAGAGAGGAATTTGTCTTTTGCTGAGGCGAGGTGTGCTGCTCAGCAGAAGAAGCCTCTGCCAGCGCAGTTTTCAAACCAGGGCACGCGAGCTGATCTACATGTCCCATGAACTGAGGCCATGCATGAAATTTGCGCAGGCAGTGCTTACACTGTGGCATTCCTTGCAAGGAGTGGGCTCGGTATTCGTCTCTACGCCGGTTTTTGAGCGTCGGGTTGCTAGGCTTTTTGGGTTGACAGTCTGGGTGTTGTTTGCCTAAATGCACACTGAGGGCATGAAAAGTCGGGAATGCCTGGGGACAGTGTGGGCAGCGATGTGTAAAGGAAACCTGCAACGTAATCTCCTTCAAGTGGCTCGGTTGGGTACTGACCGTACTCAAGGTTTGAAAGTTACTGCGTAGCAGGTCCCACCATTGCTGTACAGTTGCAGGCTGCACGTGCTGCAGATTGGACTTGCAGCGGTCCACACGTTGTGAGCACTGCTTGGAGAGCATGTCCATTGGATGCGGTAATCCCAAACGCTTTAGTAGCTGAGAATTAGATTCATGTGTGACATGACCTGGACTGCGAGCTACAATGCGTAATTGTCTGAAGACCTGCGCTTCCAAACGCTGGGCCGCCTGCTCATCCAACCCTACAGCCGTTAGACCATACTGTATGATGGCCCACACTGTGGATAGCCAAAGAAGGACTCGTTTTCGAAGGGGGACTGCTGTTGAATGCAAAAAATTTATGCAATCTGTGAAAGGCCACCCATGATTGTCCTAATCTGTGCTGTACGGTACTTCGCTCAAAACTGCCATAGCCTATCTTGACCCCTAAGTACGTGTGGGATTCCTTGATGGGCAGCATGGTTGTGCTCTGCACGCCTTGAATCCGCAAAAAGTCTTTGCGAATGGTGAAATCTCGCAGTAGCGCTGCGGTGGCTGTTCCCTTCAAGGCAAGCAAAATGACAGTTTTGTCTTTAGCAACCTCCATGCCTGCGGCCTTCAAGTCATGTAAAATACGTTCGACATGTATGCAGGCATTACGGAAGTCACTGGCATGCTGAAACTCCCACTGCATCTCATAGTCATCTGCGTATCCCGTAACTATGTCGTCAGGTAGATAGGACCGGAACTGATCGTGCAGCAGAAGGGTAAACGCAAGCCACAGCAGCGGCGAAAGGCCGCAGCCTTGTCTGATGCCCCGGCCCAATCCCACACCCGTGACATGGCCATGTTTCTCAATCACCATATGAGCATGATCATGTATGTATAGAATGAGTGTGATCAAGTCACCCGGGGCATTGATTCGGAGAAGGGACTGTTCCAGCTTGTCCCGCGGCAGCTTATCGTACGCACGCGACAAGTCTAGCGAAAGCATCATTCCGCCAGTCAGAGAGGTCTTGGGCCTGCCCTGCTTGACACTGAACACTGTGCGTTGATGCAGCTTTAGCTTCGAACGGATGCGTGCGCAATGTGCGCAGACGCGGTCAATGGCGTCTGCCGTTTGGCGTGCATTGCTGTAAGCAAACTGGGGAATGGCTTGCAGTGCTTGTTGCAGGTAAGGCCGCAAGCGCTCCGCTGCGATGCGGGCCAGCAATTTTGCCTCTGCCGGCAAGAGACAAATTGGGCGGAGATGAGCGGGCCTGTCCGGTGCCTTTCCTGGTTTAGGGATTAAGGTCATGAAGGTGTCATGCCATCGCTGGGGGAAACGAAGTAATCCCTGGGACAACGTACGGTTGTACGATTCACAAAGGATTGGCACCAGTGCAGGTCCCGCCAGTTTCCACAACACTGCCGGCATATGGCCTGGAGGCAGAGCCTTCCTGGCAGACATATGGCTTAAGGCTTGAGCAACCTCGTCCGTAGTGATCTGCAAAGGCTTCTGGAGGGCATGTGCTCGTTGTGTATGTTGTTTAGACAGATACAGCTCCGAGAAAAAATCCTCAAGCCTTTTGAGCTCTTCCGGGGCAGTTAGGAGTTGTCCGTTATCTCCTCGAAAATGTATGGTACGTTTTGAGGACTTGGGACGAAGGGTTTTTGTGAGCTGTTGTAGCTGACTGATTCCCCTTTTTTCAGCCTGCTCTGCTGTTTGGATAAGCTGGTCAACCTGCTGTTCTTTCTTCCTCTTGGCCTGCTTCCGGAAGTGTTTGTCCTGAAGATGAAAACGGACAGCAGCACGCCAGCATGCAAACAGAGACCGAGCACGTTGCAAGGACCTAGGTGCATGGGTACAGACCGTGTCAACAGCGGCTGTACTGATGTACCAGAGTACTGGAGCATTATATCTGTCTACTCCTATCATTGCATTACGTAGCTGCTGTTTACATTCCCAGAATGTCTTGAGGGTGGGGCTCGTCGTGCCTGTCTCCGAGGGGTGATGCTTGCAGGGCAGGGCAGCGCGGCAGGTTCTGCGTGCCTGTTGCCATGCTTGATTAATGCTGTCTTCAATGTTGGGAGGATGCTGGTGAGCATGTTGTTGGGATGCAAGCTGCTGAAAAGCGCTTACGAACGTGGGTCCTAAGGACTGATCAGCGGCCAAGAGCTGCCGAACCTGCTTGGCCGTGGGCGTCGACGACACTCGGCTCGCCGGCAGAAAATCCCGGTGTGGGAAATGACACTCGATCGGGACATGTCTCATGCCCGTGGGGTGAACAACAGGCGATTGCTTGAGGGCCTGTGCTCGCATGGCGTGGGGCTGGCACGGCAAACGAGTGAGGAAGTAGTCTAGTTGGACAGTTTTCTGCGTCTGTTGCAGGAACGTGCCTGCCTGGCACCCATGCTTGCCCCACGAATTGATGGCTGTGAGGCCGAGGCCGGTGACTAACCCCTGAAAAACGGCTTGATCTGGATGGGTTTCTTTGGGGTGTGGCGCAACCCCATACCCGACATGCGGGAGCTCAGTGCGCAAGGTGGCATTCATGTCGCCTAGGATGAGAACCGCATTACGCTTGGGAATGCCGCCGAGCCATTGCCTTGCAGCCTGCCAGACCTTGTCTCGTTTGGCTAGCAAAGCCTGCTGCCTCTGCTGCACACTGCCGGACAAACTTTTATGATTGGGGTTCCAAGCGTACTGGTATACTCCTAAAAGATCGATGGGCGGTGTGCATGGCAGACGGAGGTGGAGGATGCGGCCCGGCAGTATCTCTGCATGCTTGACTTGTGTTGCGTCACACAGCTTCTTATTTATAAGAAACAGTACGCCAGCCTGTCCCTCTCCTGAGCCGGAATGAATGCAAACCCAGTTGGTAGACTGATATTCTGACCACTGCGGCCAGTGGGTCTCTTGTATGCAGGCTAAATGAACGGGGTTTGCAGTTTGTGCATCTAGCCATCCTAGCAGTTCCCTGTATCTACCAGCATGCAGACCGCCTGCGTTCCACGAAATGCAGCGAAGCACTCCAGCTTGCGAGGGGGCTTTGGGTGAGGGTCTTGCAGATACAGTTGGTGTGACCTGCCTTAGCGCTAAGCTCTCCGGCGTGTGGAACCTACCTTTATACCTCGCATACCCGTCTCTGATGGCCTTTCTCTGGGCTCGCTTGAAGGAGCGCTTGCTGGAAGCTGTCAGCATAACGGCCTGCTGGCCAAAAGCTCGGACAACAGCTGCAGAGGTCGTGGGCATAGGTATGCTGTTCGCAGCTGGTTGGGTCTGAGGGGAGGCGCAGCTACTGGTTGGGGCTTGCATGACAAGACAGACAGTTAGGAGGAACTTAGTTGGGGCCCAATAAGGTCGAGGCCTAAACCCTACCCTAGTGGGTCGATGCGTTGGATGCTCGGGGCGTGATCGAGGCGCTAAACGATGAGCGCGGCTTGCATTGCCCACGACTTGCTGAATTAGAAGTCGGCGCCGCTCACAGTTGCACAAGCGCCTGCAGAACAGGCCAGGACGAATCCGAAGCACATATCTGGCACGATAAGTGTTTGCAGCAGACCTCTCTGAAGCTCGCAAAACCAGGTAGCACAAGAGAACGGTCTGCACTGAAACACTGTGTGGGATACGCAAAGGCTCAGCTACACGCACCTGTGCCGGACAGCCGGGCCCTCTCTCGAAGAGAAGACAAGTTGTAAACCCATCTTTCCTCTCGGCATTGGGTCGGGGGGAGAGGGCCTGGGTATCTTGGATACATTCTGCGTAGAGTAAATCATGTTGGAGCTGAAAAAAGGTGAAACTGATGCTGGTTTTGCACTCCCTTGGGATACAAATGACTTGGTCACAAGCACCTGTAGGAGTAGGGCCAAGAAGCTTTGTCTGCTTTGTAAAGTCGTGTGACATATATTCTACGACTTCAGGAGGGCTTTGGCCTAGGCTTCCTCCAACCCTCGTGTCTGCAATTGTCGCTTCTGAAATTCTCAATTGATGCTCTCCAGTGCAAACTGAAGGGCGGGGCCTGGCAGAAGGAGATATCTGCTGTCGCTGGCGACAATTGCCCCCGGACTTGGGACCGGGGCGGCCCGCTGGTTGTACACGTAGTTCATATGCAGGCTTCCAGTCAGGAGTGCGGCGCTGGGTCTCGCGACCCTCGAGCAGGCTCTGGCCGATCCGGCTCTGGTCGCTCAGCTTCAACAACCAGTGGCTCATCGATTCCACTGTAATACCATTGTTGAAAATCGCGTCTGTCATCATCTGTAAGTAGCGGCCAAACCAACCAGATAAAATCGCGGTACAGCCCGCCTCCAGCGTTGTTGATGGCTCGGTGTACGAATTCAGGTCCAGTCGTGGTAAGTCTGGGCGCCAACGAGCGGAGCAGCAGAAGCTGCACCCTTTGCTCAACCTGGCAGCGTCCAGGGTCCTGGTGCCGTCCAACCATGTCTGAAAAAATCCAGGTCTCGTCGTTGCAGGGAACCGTCTCATTGTAAAGTCCTTGCAAAAACTCATGGTCTTGTCGGACTGCTTGGCCCACCTGTCTGTCCAGTTGCGGCAGGGCAAGGTGTAGGACGCCTTCCGTGTCATGCCCCGGACAGCGCCTTCTGTAGGAACTGAGGCGGCCAGAGATTTGCCGGGAGCTGCTGCCGTCTTGTTGAAAGGTCGTCTCCAACGCCAACTCACACAGAATGGTTGCGAGTCGCCTCTTGTACCATTCACGGAAGTTGTTGCGTCGTCTCGTCCTTTCAGCTTCCTCTGCCCTGGCTCGAGCTGCAGCTTGTGACTCTGTGTCAGAGTCTCCAGTTGTACTGGAGCTTGGAGGCAGCATATCAGAATCAGAGGAAGCAGACGCAATCGAGCGCACCATGTTGCCCTCGCCGTTTCCATGCGTACGCAAAAGACTGGGGCCGTATGATCTGGGCCGAGACACTTATACATACGTACATACATACATACATATACATACATACATACATACATACATACATACATAATCTTTATCTATATATGTATTAATCTATGTATGTATGTACATATATATATTAACATTTTAATATATGCATATGTACATGTGCGTGCGTGTTGCAGGCATGCATACGCATCATCTCACATATCTTGTGTCATAACATATGTCATATCATAACCCGATTCATTCTACGCTGCTATCGTATAAGGCTGCTGGACAAAATTCGGCATAACCCATAGTAACGAATAGACAATATCTCCGGCTCATACGGGTAACATGAGTTCGTCCATCAGCTGTAGGTAGCATTATCTAACTGTGCATCTATATCTCAAACAATAGATTGCCCTAAATCCTAAACCCTAAACGCCCCAGAAGCAGGCGCCTCACCAGGCCGCGCCCGGCCCGTCATGCGGCTCAAGATGTGCTTCCGATTGGCCATCACGCTGAAATCCTGTGCGGGGCTCAGAGTTGAATGCGTTAAAGGATGGGTTTTAAATTCAGGGTTTTTTAAGGATTTTGGGCTTTGGGGTTCTGGGTCTAGGGAGTACGGCTTGTGTTTCGGGCTTATAAGCTTTAGGACTTGGTGTTCAGAGATTCGCGCTGATCGACTTGGAGCCTGCAGAGCAACTCCACACATGTTACAATGTTCAAACCTGGACACACGGTTTGGCATTTAGGGTTTAGGGTTTAGGCCATTAGTTCGGCGCACTCGACACGACCTGGTCGTAAGATACTGCCGCCTACGCGCTGTTCAAAGGGAAACCCAAAACTCCAAACCCCTGAACCCCTAAACCCAAAACCCCAAACCCAAAGCCCTAAACCCCTAAACCCCAAAGCCAGAAAGACCCTAAGACCGCTAACCCCTAAATCCCAAACCCTAAACCCTAAACCCTGTGACCCACGGAAAGCTCGGCCCGTGGCCCATTCCAGACGAGCGGGCGGCGCGGAAATCAGCGTGGAGAAGCTGCGACTGGTGGCTGGCCTGAGGGCTCCCCTGTTGAAAGAGCTTCAGTACGGGGTTTCTAGGGTCTTTTAAGGTTCTAAACGTTCCAACCAGGGTTCCTTATTTTACGGGTTCCCTTGAGGGTTTCAGGGTTTGAAGGTTCCGGTTCAGTTCTAGGGGTGCTCCATTAATATGGGTTTTTTTGGGTTCTAAGATGGGGTTTAGGGTTCGGGAGTTTGGGATTAAAGAGTCAAGGGGGGTTAGGGCTTCGGAGGTTCAGGGTTTATAGGGGTTTAGGGTTCAGGGTTTAGGGTTTAGGATTTAGGGTTTAGGGTTTAGAGGTTTAGAGGTTTGACGTGTGCGGAGGGGCCGTCGAAGCTTAGGCTGCAGGGATTTTGGGTTTGAGGCTCAGGTTGGAGAAGGACGTAGGAGAGGAGAAACAACGAAGGCTTGTCAGGTGCGGTTGATTGTCAATGCATGCTAGGGCTACGGCTTTGATTGTAGATTGACTTCTGATGCTGACATCATGGTGTGCCGAGCATTCGCGGCCACTGCGGTTCAGGGATCTTCGATTCCGGAGAACCGCCGCCAAAGATGTGAATCTTTCAGACGCCCAGGGAGCATGAAGTATCTGAAAGCGAACCCATCTTGAAGTTGGATTGCGGACTTGCCCACGATTTTAGATACTCAGGCCAGACCCGCAAACTTCAAATGCAGAACACGAAGCGAAAGGGGCGATCTTGTGAATCCACTGGGTCGCGGGCTTCTGGCTGATCTGCCGAAGGAAGTCTTGAAGATGCTGCCCATCCTGTCCATCCTGCTCATCCTGCTGTGACGAGGATTGCGACGGTCATGATGATGATGATTATTGTGATGGTAATGATGATGTTGGTGGTGATGATGGTTATGATGACGGTGATGATGATGATGACGACGATGATAACGTCGACGACGACGATGATGATGATGATGGTGATGGTGATGATCAGGGTGATCAGCATGCACGTGAAAACATACATGTGTGTCAAAGGCAAGTACACAGTTTAGGTATTTATGCATGTATGTTGGTACGTAGGTAGGTAGGTAAGTAGGTAGGTAGGTAGGATCCAGACAGATGTGTGCAAAACACGTACATTCATCCCAATGTACCCTACCCCATTCAATCATACTCTACTTCTCGCACGTATAGGCCCGTTTTGCTGTGCCTGATTACACCATGCCATACTAGTCAACATGTGAGGTCGTATAATACCATACCAAGGCATGCCATACCATATCTTAGTAATATTCTATCCTATCCCATCCTGTCCTACCCTCTCATGTCCTGCGATTGCACAGCCTCTGACCCAACCAGAGCCGCTCACCTGACGCGAAGCTCTACAATGTCCTGCACGGGGTAGAGCCCCAGCACATCATCGACTTCGCCAGCCTCACGAGAGCACTCCTGTGTTGATGTGGTGTGGTTTTCGGGGCGGTCTGATGTTTTGGAACCAACAGAGAGGCGAAGATGGATACGGCAACTGGGGGAATCCACCGAACCAACAGCAACGTAGAGCAATGTGCTGGAAAGCTTTGCGCGTGACGGACTTTGCCTGATATAGGCTTTAACAACTAAAACACAATTTTGGAGTAAATGGACTAAAGGTACATTACTGTAAGGAACCCTAAGGAATAGTATTATGCGTTAGTTATGAGATGAGCTATTGTTTAGACCTGTATATATATATACACATATATACTCTATCTATCTCTATATATATATATACACACACACATATATTAGCCCATCCTGGCCCTTTCGAGGCCGGCACCATCAATGCCGGCCATGTCGTTCCGCAAGCATCACCACATGCAGCACGTGCTACGACTGAAGCTTAGATCGTACACAGAGCGGCATGCGGCGTGCTGAGTCGTCTTTGCAAGCTGTCTCAAGCCGTCTATCAGCTTGAAAACTTGCATGTCTTGCAGCTTTGGAGCATTCAATTTCTGCTGCCACATGAACTAACTGTACTTGGGGCCACAACGAGTCGGCGAGAAACCAAAGGCCAAAAAAGATGTTAGATCTCGCGCGACATCTGGGATTGAATCGGAACCTGACCGGACCCTTGCAGTCCAGTGGCTCCAAGCTAGGAGTCCCAGCTCTGCCAAAGAACGGTTTTAATGGGGCTTTCAGGGTTTAGGGTTTAGTGTTTCGGTACAAAAGCCCCAATACAGTGTCTACAAAAGCCCTGCACTCTGCACTCTCGTTGGCATGTTTCCGATCCACTTCGCACGGCACGGCCATCAGCAGGCTATCGCAGCCTCCACTGCAGAGCCGAACCTGGGTCTACTTTTAGTCAGCAGATACCAGTTCCATTTTCTATGCATGCACCCCCCCTAGGCCACCTGAAGACCCAAAACCATCACAACCTATACCTCAAGCCTTTAAACACGAATAGAAACTCCGTAGAAGGCCTTGGCAACAGCAGTGGCACGCCGGCATCTGGAACAAATAAACCCGAAAACAGCTAAGGCTTGGCTTGAACATGTTCCTCCCTGGTATCCAATTCAGCATACCTAGCCTCAAGCACATCGTGTGGCTGCATGTCACGATTCGCGCATGACTGCCCAGCACACCCACAAGCCTGTACCCACGGAATATGGCTGAAATCATACTAAGATCTTTACTTAAATCAAGCCACATTCCTCTAAAACCCTGGGAAGCTACGAATCCTGCAATTTCAGGTAGATTCCTCAATCAAGTCTGTTGGGTGTCCTGCCTCAGACAACCAAAGAGCTCCAAACCACAAACCCTAAACCTAGACGCTCAGCCGTTAAGCCTAAACCCAAACGCCAGTGCCGTTCTAGTGTGGATGATATAAATCCTGCATTACCTCAAGGACCCTAGACTATGGGAATTATGGCATGTTCCGTATTTATGGGTAATGCAGGATTTATATCATCAACCGTAGGGCCCCAACAAGAACCCGCAAATTAACCTTTATAACACCCTTACATCACCCCTACAGCTCGGCTTTTTGAGCTCGAGATCTGCGCATCTTGGCTTTGGAAGCTTCCAGGAGTTGGCAGCCAGGCCCCGCGAGCCCATCTTAAACGTCTTTCCCAGATCTTCCCGTAAAACGCAGTTTGCCGATTGTTTTAATTGTTTGACCCCAAGACGGTCCTATTAGGGCTTATTTGGGCTTTCGGCCGTCCGAGCAATTTGGGTTTAGGGTTTAGGGCTCAAGGGCTTAAGGTGTAGGTTTTAGGCCACGAGTCCCGTTTAAGTAAGGGCTGCTCCTTTTTAAAGGGAGTGTCAGGCCAGAGGTTTTCAAGGGTTCCGGTGATATTCTGACATACTGATAGGAGGACTAAGAAAACGGTGACCGGCAAAACGACAGCAAGGACAATAAGCATAGACCCTTAGAGTCTTAGAGCTCTGCAATAAGCCCTTCAATGCCCTCAAGCAACCTAAATCCCCACAAAGCCCTTTGAGGACAAACCCATGAAGCCTTTACCGGCCTGTAATAGTGAAGACAACCCCCTTACACCCGTTCAAGCAACGAGAAGAGTAAGCCTACACCCTAAACTCTGTTGAGAAGATCTGGGGTGGCACCGGACGTCATGGAGCTACTCCCATCAAGTCTCCAAGCCGAAGGTGGCATGCTTGCACGAATTCATAGAGTTGAAAAATCGTAGGGGTTTAGGGTTTCGGGCTTCTGGCATGGAGTCTGGCTGTTAGGTGTAGGGTTTAAGGTTCAGGCGTAGAGGAAAGGCTGCTTCGAGGGTTCAAAGGTTTAGGGTAGGCTTTCGGCGGAGTCGTGCTGCAAGAGAAATAATCGAAAGTAGACCAGACGAACCAAAGCCAAGGGCGCTCGAATGTCACACTCCGAGACCTACTTGCCAAAACTGCAAAACCCAGGCCGCGTCTTCGGCAGGAATGTCGAATTGAAATGTCTTGAGTAGCACTGAGTAGCACATTCTGCTTTGCAGATGCTGCTAGAAATACTAGAAATGCTCGAAGGACATGGGCTGACGGATGATCTCTGCATACATCCGCAGCTGCATCTCCGAAGTCTGCGTCTGCGTAGACACACCGACGGCCACTCCTTGCACACCCATGCAGGGTTTCGCAATGACCTCGTGGCTTTGCAGATCCACATCTGGTTCTTCGAATGTCACCCAGCACATCGGCTCATTCACGTCCTTCTCATAAAGGCTCATCTGAGTCCCCTGGCCGAGCACCGTGAAGTAAGAAGACACCACCGTCTCAGTATCATCATGGGTTGAGATGCACGCCTCCACACCAAGATCGTTCGAGCAATTGTTCAAGTCCGAAATAGAATCACAGATGTCGTCTTCTTCACCCTCCCTCTGACAAGTGTTCGCCGATGCCTGCGGCTTCTCCGCATTGTCATGCTCCCTTTGCCGACTCCTCACCCCTAACGAAAGGAGGAGGAGCGGCAAGAAAGCCGCCGGGCCGAAGAGCATCAGGCAAAAGATGTTCGCTTGCGACTGCAGCTGCGCCGCTTCCTGTGCGACGGTCGCATGCTGCATGATGTAGCACTGCAGGCTGGCTAAAACCAACAGTACCAGACCTAATCCTGAAAACAGACCAATGCTTATAACCAGCCATCTCACGAGTGACCACCATTTCTTGACTTCGACGCCCTCGAGGCGGGATGAAGCCTGGGTGCAGACGTACGTCAGTAGGATCTGCCACACAGCAGACATGGTACAGGCTAGCCCCAAAGAGCTGTAGTTCCGTGGCTGTCATAGCTTCCGACCCAGTCGCGACTCCGGGCCAAGTCCACGTCATCTGGCTCTCCAAACTTAATCAGGAGAGGTAGAAGGATGGAAAGCAAGAAAGCATTTAGCACCCCAAAGATGTAGAGCATCTCAGCGATCTGGTTCACTGCCGGAGGCTTGTCAAAAAAGAGGTCATATAGGACGTTTATACCTGCGACCCTGTACAGCCTAGCACTGACCTTGACATCGCTCTCGTTGTGGTCACTTCTTGCACCCACAAGAGAATTGGAGTAGCTCTGCGTACGCATGAGTGACACGGACAGTATGACGATTGGAAGCAGTATCCCAAGGGGGAGCACTGTCCAAGTCATCGGGAGGAAGGCAGCTGACAACTCTTGTGCCACTTCTCTTGTGTGGGAATGCTGTAGAACATAAGCCTCCTGGGCGGATTTGATGATCGCCAGCCCTGCACACAGTGCATCCACTAGCAAGAGCACAATGCACCAGCGAGCCCAATACCACCAACCTGAAAGAGCGCTCCGATTGATCTCGGTGTCTTCCGGATCCCTTTTAAAGGAGGTCATCGCCGCAAACTGCGCCACGTAGAAGAAGGTGGCGAGGCCACATGTACCGAGCAGCCATGCCGCATGGCTCCAAAACTCATAGCCTAGCTAGGTTGGCCCTTCAAAACCTCTAAAATCTAAAAAAACGGTAAGTCTTCAGATTCAGCCCAACAAGAAAAATTTCCATGGCTACCCAGTAGCTTTCATAGGTCCCAAGCCAGCTCCTTTGCTGTACGATTGCGGCCTCATCGTATGGGAACAGCAGCAAGACTTTGAGCGCCATCTGCATAAGCAAGCCGGCCAAAAAGAGAAAGGTCTTCATCATCGCCACAATCTGGTCCCACTCCGGCGTATGGTCCAACAAGACATCATACACCAAGTTGAAAACCGGAATGGAGTATGCCCACATCCAGCGTGTTGTCTCCTGCGAGTTCGTGTTGCTCAGACTGTCGCTGCGCTGCAACATTTGTTGCTTGCGGAACAATGCCAAGCTCAGCACAACCACCGGGAAGCATTCGCCAAAACCTGAGGCTCCAATGGGCGGTTCAATGGTGCGTTTCGCGCTTTGTCGAGTGAGGCAGGCGTACGCCCCGACCCCGAAGTCCCTAAACCCTAAACCCTGAAGCCCTTATCTGCAGCCCGCGATCCCAAACCCCTCTTTTGCCAGGCATTAGCACCTTTCTGTTGGGCTTTGGAGTTTTGCAAAAAATCTCCGGGCAGGCCAGGGGATTCCTTTTGAGGGAGGAACCCTGCCAGCATTGGGTGTGACAGTGATGTGCGGGACCGTTTGCGCAGTTTAGGAATGTAGGGTTTTGGCGGTTTAGGTCAGGTTTAGGGTTTAGGGTGTAGGGTTTAGGGTGTATGTAGGGTTTAGGCGGTTAGGTCAGGGGTTGTTCGTGACTGCGAGGTTTCGTGGCGGAAGGATGCACGTGCGAGTGGGCCTGCGCCACAGGTTTGTACAGGGCTTGCCCGGAGACTGCACTGCACACGGTTTAACTTAGGACGACTCCTCCAGGTCTAGTACGGATCCTGGACAAGAGGCTTCTAACATTTTACAAAGCTGATACTGGCGTTTCTGGATAGTTTAAAGGACGGTGGACCCGCCAAGGTTTCTGCGAGTTGCTTGGAGCAGCATTTCGCCCTACCCGCGAGCTGATGGCAAGTGTTTACTTTAGATGCCAGCTCGCACACCGCTGGCCGGGTGTGGGGCATGGTGCGGGGGGTTGGATGGCCTGGAGGCATAAAGCCCTCGCTGCGCGCGAGGGTCATTTATGCGTCGCGGTCTGTCTGGACGGGACGTTTCTCAATAGATCCAGGTCGTACACCCGGGGTCCCTTGAGGCCAACGTGCTCAGCACAGGGCACATGACAGTGGGGCGATGGGCTAACGCGCTCACTGGGGGACTCTCACGGCACATGTCGGGTTCGGGGCGTGCATGCTCCCGCCACAGTGCCCCACGTCGGGTGTACCTCTCATGGTCCCGTCACGGTCCAGCACGGTTCGCTCTCCCGAAATCGTGCTCCGGCCACAGTGTCGTGCACATTTGGGGTCTCTTGGGGGCCTCAAGGGCTGGAACTGCTCTTGGGCTTGGGTAAGTTGAAAGCATGGCTCTAAGCACAGTCATTGGGACTCTGGTTAAATGGCGTCCTTACGCGAAGCCCTAACCCGAAACCGAAAACCCAAGCCCGAATACCCCTAAAGGAGCGAAACCCTGAAACGTCAAACCCGGCCGGCCTATGGCCACATAGCACAAGAACTCCTGCAACTTCCAGAGTTTCCAGGCCTCTTCGTCGGAGGTCTCGTGCTGCAAGTAGTACAAGCGAGGCTGAGCCTGATATAAGCGGAAGACACCTTGGCTCTTTCTTAAACTTTAAGACCCTAAACCCTAAACACAAACCCCTGCAGTGAAAACTAAGCCCTGAGCCCTAAACCCTAAACCGCTGGTATAAGCGGAAGGCAGCTGGGCTCTTCTTTGGGGAGCTTCTGAAAGTCACACAGACAAGAAGGCCCGTTGTTTGCAGCATAAGCGTATACCCGTATAGATAAATAGATAGATAGATAGATAGAAAGAAAGATAGATAGATAGATAGAGAGAGATATTTAGAAGGTAGATACAGATAGATAGATAAATACATAGATAGATAGATAGATAGATAGATAGACTGACAGACAGACAGACATGTAGATAGGTAGATAGATAGGTAGATAGATAAACAGACAGTTGGGTAGATAGATAAATACATACATGCATACATACATACATACATAGGTAGATAGACAGATAGGTAGTTAGCTAGATAGTTACATACATACATAGATAGATGGATAGATAGATAGTTATAGATAGGTACACAGATAGATAGATAGATAGATAGCAAGATAGATAGGTAGATACATAGATAGATAGAAAGATAGATAGATAGATAGATAGATAGATAGACAGACAGATAGATAGGTAGATACATTGATAGATAGATGGGTAGATAGATAGATAGATAGATAGGACAGACAGACAGACAGACAGGTAGATAGGTTGGTAGATAGATAGATAGATAGATAGATAAACAGACAGCTGGGTAGATACATACATGCATACATACATACATACATACATACATACATACATAGATAGAGGGTAGATAGATAGATAGATAGATAGATAGATAGTTAGATAGGTACATACATACATAAATACATAGATATAGATGTGGCAAGGACCTTTACACTCTATTTGGCAATTTGGTTTGTTTAGAGCTTTAGGGGAAGTCAACTAAAACGACGACGACGACGATGACGACACATTACCCACATTACGTACATTACACACATCGCTTAAACCCTGAACCTTGCAACCCCAAAGTTTAGGGGTGACGTGAAAGGTTTCGGGATTGACTGCGCTTTAAGCCGCAGCAGTTGGTAGACAGAAAGACAGAGGGACAGGAGGATAGACAACCCTATGGTGGTAACTCAAACCATGTCCGCTCCTTGATAAGAACCCTTTACTGCCCTTTACTAAAATACTGTAACAAGAACCCAGGCACCGTAGTGCTCATAGAGCATGACCGCAAAAATGCAGAATCGGCCCCACGACCACCAGGCTGTAAACGCGCTGTGATTGCGCATTCCTCTTGAATCTGTGAAGTCGGCCATCGCAGCGTAAAGGTAGATCAGCACGAACATGATCATGGAGGCAAACAGAAGGGAAAAACCATCATGGCTCATCTCACTAAACCTCGATGCTTCATTGAGCAGTGGAGAAAAAGCATGCACTCCTACACTGTTTGATGTTGAGTGCGAAAACAAGAACCTAAAAGCCAAACATGACATAGGTATATGTTGACATACACATGTGGGTGGATGTGTATGTATATATATATACATACATACATACATACATACATACATACATACATACATACATATGTATGTAAGTCTAGCTATAGATGTGATTCTATGTATACTACTGATAGCCCGGAAGCTCGACGTAGCCACCGTCCCAGTCCCGGTTCCGGGATACTTCCGCCTCCTCGAAATGTAGCAAGTGCAAGACCTCGGAACCCATGCCTAACCTTGGCTGGCGGGTCTCGGGCTTAGGGTTTAAGGTTTACGGTTTAGGGTGTAAGGTTTAGGGTTTAGGGTTGAGGGTTTAGGGTTTGGGGTTTTGGGTTTTGGACATTCAGAATACCTACAGTGTCTCGTGAATTCAGTAAACGTACAGCAGCAGGCCAACAGCAACAACAACACAGTAACACTATTACTTGGTCGAAGTCTTGGAAACACTGCATGCACTACCCTCGTTTCTTATCGGGCTGCATTAGCATACACATACACAAACGAGCCAACGCAAAAGCAGAAACATGTAAGATGTACCTACGTTGGTATTTAGGGGGGGTTTAGGGTGCAGGGTCTGGGTACCTGCTGCTCCCTCTCAAGGAACTGCACTACGACTATCTTGAAAATCATGTTCTGGAACTTAATATACTAGACAAAAAACTCAAAGGTCTTGCCCACAAACCAGGTTATACTAGAGTGAAATCCTAACACCATAAACCCGCCCCCAGTCAAGAAGGGCGCCGAGTAGCATCAAAGCTATCATCGTCCCATTGACCTCAAGGACCTGCAAGAGCTGTCCGGTCTCCGGAAGACTGGCGAAGAAGTCGTAGAAGATGTTGAGCACCTGGGTTTCCAAAAAGCAGTCCCTTAAATCACAAGGCCAGCCCAGCCCTTTAGGGTTTGGAGTTTGGGGTTTAGGGTCTGGGGTAACCCGTTAATCGGGGTACCATAAGGGTGTTGGGAGGGTGCCCTGTTCCAAGAGCTCAACGTAGTGTTCCATTCTTCATGGGGACAAAAGCGGCAGAAGGATATTGCTGGCGTCCGAGGCACTGGAAGGTAGTGGGCACGATGGAGCAACTGCCTCTCTTCCTTTACAGGCGCATTGTGGTTCATAGCCCGATGGCGCCTGCTGTGCGCCAATGATAGCAAAAGCAAAGGCAAGGCAACGCCCAAACCAAGCACAACCACGAAGAGGCTGTTGTCCTGATACCTGCCAATCTCTTGTCCTTCTTTGGCTGTCGTCATGTGCTGCAATTTGAAAGCTAAGTGGGCGGCTCGGTACAGGAACATACTTCCTGCGCAGGTGCAAGAGCCGGTGACAACAAGATTCCAGCGTGCAACTTTCCACCATGCAGCAACAGCGGAACCCACTCCAGCAGTGTTGGATTCAAAGGTCCCTGCGACTGCTGAAAGGTGCGTGCACACGACTTGAAACATGGCTGAGGCGATGCAGACATAGCCACGCGTCACTTGTCTCTTGAACTCGTCATACTCACCGTCCCAATTTAGCCGCCGGGCATTGGCTGCTTTCTCATAGTCGAACAGTTGCAGTATGGGAATGACGACTGCCAACAGCAGACTGTTGAAAAGGATCAACATGGCCATGACACTGTTGATTTTGCCTGAAGATGGCACTTGAACGAAAAGCACGTCATAAAAGATGTTCACGACGGGGCAGTTGTGCAGAAGGCCTGTCTTCCAACTCTTGGGGGCAGCTCGAAACTGACGATTGCTCGTTGAGGCAATGCGTCCCACTGCATGTATAGCAGTCTGCTTGGTCAAAGTTGCCAGGGAGACCACAGCCAGGGGGACAACAAAGCCCATGCCGAGCAAACCGTAAAAACTCCAGTTGCCCATGAAGCGACTTAGCAGGTCTGCTTCTGCTTGACCCTGGGCATGTTGTAAGACGAATGCATACTGGATAGCCAGACTAAGACATGCACTGCCTATGACGGTTCCCAAGATCAGAAACAAGAAGCTCCAGCGAGTGTACCGCCACCAAGATATGTAAGCTCGACTCACGCCAGCTGCGCCCTCGAAGTCAGTTGCTCGAGTCAATAAATACGTTAGACTTGTGCTCACCGACGCAGTCGTGATGCAAAACATAGCAGACAAACTAAATAACTGATATCGACCATAGCTGCCGTTCCAATTCCGAGCCCTCGCTACGGCAGAGTCCGTTGGCGAGAACAACACAACAGTTGGAATACAGACACTCAGCAGCAATCCATTCAGAGTAGAAAACGTCTCCAAAATCTGATCAATCTGCTGCATGCTAGGCGGATAGGCGTTTGCATCGTACAGAACGTTCACAACCGGGATGTAGTAGACCCATGGGACGGCGCCTTTGGCGTCGGCGTCCATTGTTGCTGGCTCCTGCTTGAAAATGGTCTGACCCCTGCCCAACGATTTCGTTGGAGGACTATGTAAGGGCGCTATGCTTATAAGGATGATTGCTGTGATCGACGCCTTGCGGAGCCTTGCAAGAGCAAACCCTGCCAAAAGCATCGAGCCGATAAAGCAAGAAGGGATTCGGCGCGACAGGGTTTGGGGGAGGGGGGGTGTTCCTTGCTGGGGCCTTCCTTACGACACTGGGGTCCTTCTACTCCAGATCGTACTCTTCTGGGTCCAACGGCTTCTGAAAACGCCTCTTCGGCCTGGACACTCTGAAGACTTTCGGTCAGGCTTTGAAGCAGATTATTATGGTATGCGTATTATGCTCAGGAATCCTTAGGCCCTGGGGTGATTTGGGTTCAGGATTTGGGGTCTAGGGACTTCCTAACGTGCATCACCCTCTCCGAACAAGAGTACAGTGGCCTTGGCAATGCTAAAGGCCGTACCCTTAATGCGAAACCCTAACCCCGAAACCCCTATATCCTAAAGGCCCTACGCCTGGGCCCTTCACTTGAGAAGGGGGGTGCTGGTTGCAACCATTCTTGAACTCTTGAACTCTCTCTTCTCGCATCTTTATGGGTTCCTGGATTCGCGTTCAAGCGATGTTGCTTAAAGACTTGCCAGAGACCCACACTTCCGCCGGCGACGGCCCTGCCAGGACGAGGCACCTCCTCACCCCTGCACCAATCAGCTTGAGAAGGCTGCGTGGATGCACCAGAACATATCGTCCTTCATAAGTAGAATAAGGCTCCTTATTAAAGGGATCCGCAAGGATTCTATGAGTTATACAGGCCGTAATTAGAAGAGGGCTTGGTGGTATACTACACGATACTTATTAATTATAGAAAGGAAACCCAAAATATCATTGGTAACTGTTTACTAAGGCCCCTATATTCAGCCTAAAGTCCAAAAGGCAGGTAAAGTTGAAGCTGCGAAGTAGCATGCCAGTCCTCAGCCCAAGTTTGCAGCAAGCCTTTCCATGTATGCGAACCTTCGCGTATGGTCACTCCCACATCATGGGAACACAAGCCACAAGCCGACCTGCTATTCTGGCTGCTCGCCCACACCAAATCACAGGGCGTGTGAAGTTTGCTAGCACACAATCATGCGGGACATGCTTCTTCCCGTATCCTGGCTGAAGTATCCACACTCTACACCCGTAGTAGCGAGCATGACTTCTTTCTTGAAGCACCTGGGCCACCCTAGCTAGGTTCGATCCATTGCTGCCAATTGACTTGTTGGCGCAGCATTACGAAAACTCCTGCTCCTCTGCTGGGACCCAGCAACTGGACACCAAAGAGGCCTCCTGCCCTGCCACTTAGCACCGGTGGCGGCGGTGGTGGTGGTGGCTGTAGGGGTGGTGGTGTGGTTGTGGTGGTGGTAGCAGCGGCAGCAGCGGCAGTAGCAGTAGCAACAGTAGCAGCAACGCTTTCGGAAAGGGCGGGAAAAAGAGCTCCGCAGCCACCTGCGAGATGACACGCAGAGTCACGCGCAAAGTTTGTCTGCATTTTTCAGTCACCTCGCGTCTGTGCAAGCGAGAGCTCTATGGCATCTCATGTGCATCCTTCGGTGGCCGCATTTCGGAAGCATGAAGGGTGCCATAGCCGCTGCTAGCCGCCGCAGTGGCTGAGCCAGCAAAGCGATCAGTCTCTGAGTATGTGCAGGCTGCACTCCGCAACACGCAGCAAATCGATAGAAGGCCGGAGAGGCAATGCACAGCGAGAAATGCAAGCAAGCACCGCCGTATGGCCCACACATTCACAACTCTGTTCGAGATCCCTGCGGCATACAACTGAACAGAGTATGGGTCCACCTTACTCCAAGTGTAAGCCACGATTACTCCCAGCATGATAGCTCGGGAAAAGATAGAGATGCAAACACCTCGAGCTGTCGCCGCCCTGTCTGCATCCTTAGCCTGGGTCTCTTGGGTGTAGAGCCACAAGGGGCCGCAAAGTCCCACTGCGAGACAGGTGGCAGTAGGAGTCTGTGGACAGAAGACGCGGGCAACTGCAGCTGAAACGGTGAGAAACATCAAAGAGCCAGCACTGAGAGACAGCAGGAAATACTTATCCCACTGCAATGCAGGAATCAAGTTGTCAGTCATGATTTTCAAGACGCCCGGCCCATAAGGCCGCAAAGTCTCAGCCAGACGGGGAGGCATGTCATTGTCGAAGTCAGAGAAGTCGGACATATCATTCAGCACCATCTGCTGGAAAGGCCAAAGCAATGCCATCACGTCCTTCACAAGCTTGCCAATATAGAACGCAGAAGGTTGTACAGCACATAGCAACCATGCAGTCACGAGGCAAATCATGTCCAGACTTGTGTGGAAGGTCACTACAGCCACGGCACTCCAAGAAGTCACACCACAAGATGCTAGGACTTTTTTCCGGATGGGTAGCCAGGCTGCTAGAAGCAGCAGGAACGACTCGGCAACTTGCATTTTCCATGCGCCAGCAAGGTTCACCAGCGTCACACCGGCAATTTTCTTGGTCCAGGGTCGACTGGACTTAACGGACAGCACCTGTTCGTGCGATCGGCGAGCCAGGAATTCAGAGACACTTGTATCCACGAAATCCTTCCATGCAAGATGCTTTGCACCCTTGTGCCCAATGAAACACAGAAACCGACAGCGATAAGACTTGCTTTGCTCCCGGCACCTCTTCAGGAAGCGTTGCACGGCGGGCTGCAGGTTCTTCTCATTGCGCAAGATCTCTCTTTTGATACCCTCATACATCACGTAGTTCAGGGCCAAGAAATTGCTGGAGCCAATGCCGCCTAACTCACCATCCGTCGAGAGATCCGCAGGAGACCCCTTGATCCAATGCTGCACGTAGTCTTTGGATCTGGGGAGGCGTTCTGTCTCCCACTCGGAGTCATTGCAATGTCCTGCTTCCCAGATCCTCCTCTCGACTTTCAAGGCGTTCCTTGAAAGCTGCTCTGATTCGGCAGTTTTCGATGATTTCGCAACTTTTTCTGCGTACCATTTCGTGTGGTTGACGAAATAAATTTGTGCGGGATCCAAGCGATCTCGGCGCATGGCCGAATACCACTCAGACTCCTTCTCTAAATGAGGAAACGCTGCAACTGCTAGCGAGGACAAAGTTGCTGTGGCCTGGCAGGTTGGGATTTCAAAAACAGACCGGGATGATAGGACGAAGGTCATCATGGCCAGCGGCAAACTGCGCCAGCAAGAGCTGCGAATTTGAAGCCACTCCCATTCGGCAGATGTCTCCCCACGAACCAATTGCCTGCCTTGCGCGCATGCAAGGTACGGGGTGTCCAAGCCAACGGCCGCGACAAAGGCAGCGAAACGATACCCCAGTTCCCAGTACTTCAGAAATCCGATCACATTTACTGCCAGCAGACCTGTTACCAGCACAGCCAACGCCGCGGCGGATCGGATTTCCGGGTTTGGCCACTGGTGATGAACCTCCACGCCATTGCTGCAAATGTTCAGCCAGCAATTGGCCCAAGCCCAAAGAAGCAACACCACAGCAGCGGCTCGCTGCACCAAATCCTTGACTGGGATGTCAGTGGGCGGCTCTTGTTTGAGTTGGCCACCGTGGTCACCTCCATCGCCCATTCGCAATGATAGGAAAATGTTCCGCAAGGAACAAAAATGACCTGAACTTATAGGAGTGATAGAGCTTAAACATCAACGGCTGATGGCGCAAGAGCGCAGCAAGCTGCATCATTTCCTGCATCAAGGTGGTTCC